CCACTGAGCCATATTATATAGGCATTTCATCGAGGTTTTTTTTAGTTAGATCGCGTAAATATAAATGTGTCGTTAAAGAGACACACACACAATCTATAGTTTAACACGAAGCAGGCTGCTGGGTCGGGATTGAGCCCACGACCTCCTGTGCACCAGGCGAGGTAGTCAACATTTCGCCAACTCTGTGCGCAGTGGCGGTAACGGAGATAATTTTTTGGGGGGGAGATTTAACTGAAGATGTGAATCAAGAAATGAAGGAATAAATATACGAAGAGGAATGTTGTTCTAGATTTGAAGCTTTCGTGACTGCAAGGATTCATATTCTTAGGTTTTTTTCGGTAAAGTCACGTAGATAAAAAAATGTAAATTAATAAAAGTAAAATAAAATAAAAATCACGACGTTTCAGCTGCATCACTTGATACAGCTATCGTGCTGTGACGGTTCCACCTGAAGACGGAAGCTTGTGTTGCCTCCGAAACGTCGTGTTTTTATTTTATTTTTATTTTACTTTCAATAATTTTAATTAAAATAAATTATCTACGTGACTTTACTGAAAAAAACCCAAGAATAGGAATGGTTGTTGTTGTCGTCGTTATCGTTGTTGTTGTCGTTGCTGTTATTGTTATTGTGCGTGTTTCACAGCTGTGCGCCGGTGAATCCAAAGGTGTCGCATCTTCTCCGGCTCGGCGTTTAACGAGCCGAGACGATCGACGGAGTTACAAGTTGGACAGGGCGCACACCTCAAAGGATTGTTCTACTTTCGGACATCTCAGGGACATCGGCGATCAATTCCAGATGTTATAGGCTCGGAACAATGTGGTGGGCCCGGACGCAAGCGGTGCAAAAAGCGTTGTATCGATCTGTGTGGAGTTTTGAGAGTTGTCACACCTCGGGGTTTTGCTCCCACAATCAGTCCAGGATCTATCCGCTGATGGACGGAGGCACCCCCCCTCCCCCCACCTCTGTATCAAGTGACGGTTCCACCTGAAGACGGAAGCTTGTGTTGCCTCCGAAACGTCGTGATTGAATTTATTTTAATTTTTTTACCTACGTGACTTTTACCGAAAAAATACAAAGAGTATGAATCCTTGCAGTCACGAAAACTTCAAATCTAGAATTAAGTTATCGTTCCATTCCGGCATCTGTACACCGGCTGATATCCGTCGCTCCATCTCCACAGTGGAGGGTTCTTTTCTCTCGGAAGTGGCGTCTCCCTCCGTGGGCTGTCACTCCGACGTTAGCCTTCACCTTGGTGAATGGAATTGTTCTTTTAATTAATTGTCGTACATTTTTTTGTCGGGGATAAAAGTGCGATTGAACCGTCTTATCCGCATTTTAAAGCAAAGTTGTCGGTGTGGGTGTTGTTTATATGTATGGGAAGCAGTAGTGTAGCGGTTAGCGCGCTGCAGCTACGAACCCAGCGACCCGAGTTCGATTCCCGCTCACGGCCAATACCGGTGACGATTATCTGAACCGGTCCTGGGCCTCCCCTAGGTCGACTCAGCCTCAAATGAGCACCTGGTGCGGTGTGTAAACATCGCCACTGGGGAGACAAAGGCGGTCGGGCGTAGTGCTGGCCACCCACCCCTCGTGTGCCGTGCCGGCCTTCAAAAGTGCTCGCTAACAGCACTTGCCCCTACAGCCTGTTAAAGGTTAAAGGCTATTACTTATTAGTGTGCGCGCGTGTGTGCGAGACCACATTTAAAGAACTTTATTGACACCGGACACAAGTATGAGATGCGTCTCACTTTCGCGCCACGGTGGCTAGGAGATGTTAACTCCCTCGCCTGGTTTACAGGAGGTCGTGGGTTCGATCCCGACCCTGACGCCTGCTGTATATTTGGAGTTTGAGTGTCTCTCTCATCATCATCACGGTGGCTAGGAGATGTTAACTCCCTCGCCTGGTACGCAGGAGGTCGTGGGTTCAATCCCGACCCTGACGCCTGCTGCTGTATATTTGGAGTTTGAGTGTCTCTCTCATCATCATCATGGTGGCTAGGAGATGTTAACTCCCTCGCCTGGTATGGAGGAGATCGTGGGTTCGATCCCGACCCTGACGCCTGCTCTATATTTGGAGTTTGAGTGTCTCTCTCATCATCATCACGGTGGCTAGGAGATGTTAACTACCTCGCCTGGTACGCAGGAGGTCGTGGGTTCGATCCTGACCCTGACGCCTGCTGCTGTATATTTGGAGTTTGCGTGTCTCTCTCTCTCCGTGGTCGCGTGGATTTTTTTTCTCCAGGTCCTCCGGTTTTCCCCCTCCACATTTAGAATTGACGTCGCCACGCGTTCAGAGTGTTTGGCTGCTGCTATACAATGCCCGCACGATGATGATGACCTATCATTTGTGATCGCCAAGGTCGCGTTTGAACAAGAGCTGCGTAGCTGAGTGGGACCCTTACCCGGTTAAACACCCTTATTAAGGACTAATCACGAAACGACGGAGCTTTCATAGAGCCCAATGTGTAGTGTGTAGTGTATAGTAGTGTATAGCGTAGTGTATAGTAGTGTAGTGTATAGTGTAGTGTATGGTAGTGTAATGTATAGCGTCGTGTATAGTAGTGTATAGCGTAGTGTAAAGTAGTGTAGTGTATAGTAGTGTATAGTGTAGTGTATAGTAGTGTATAGTGTAGTGTATAGTAGTGTATAGCGTAGTGGATCGTATAGTAGTGTATAGCGTAGTGTATCGTATAGTAGTGTATGGTAGTGTATAGGAGTGTAGTGTATGGTAGTGTAGTGTATAGTGTAGTGTATTGTAGAGTATAGTGTATAGTAGTGTATGGTGTATAGTAGTGTAGTGTATAGTAGTGTAAACTAGTGTATAGTAGTGTAAAGTAGCGTATAGTATAGTGTATAGTTTTGAGTTTAGCTTAAAAACATTTGTACTTTCCAGAGCGCCTTATGATCAGGAGAGTCCGGCCAAAAGTCGGGTTTCACATGAACCTCCATTGTCATCAGTCGTCACGTTGCCCCTCGCAAAATTCCGCCGCCTGCCATAGTAATGTGGAATTGCCACCCGCTGGCTCAGGGCTGTACACGGTAGGTGAGCGCCGTGTGAACGTTCGTTTGAGCAGCAGCAGCAGCAGCAGGCGAAGGGTGCATGGTGCGTTCACTCTTATCGCTTGCACCTTCAATAGTGCTGATTGTTGCTGCCCGCAGGAAATCAATGACTTTGGAAAAATACGTACTGTATATACTCAACGATCACTCAACCACACTAATCTTAACTCCTCATCCCACCCACCCACACACCACCACCACCACCACAAACAAAGGCAAATATCCCCCGTATAGCCTTAACAGACTGTAGGGGCAAGTGCTGTTAGCGAGCAACTATGAAGGCCGGCACGGCACACGAGGGAGTGGGTGGCCACCACCACGCCCGACCCCCTTTTGTCTCCCCAGTGGCGATGTATTACACACTGCACCAGGTACTCATTTGAGGCTGAGTCGACCTAGGGGAGGCTGCGTCGACCTAAGGCGGAGACCCAGGACCGGTTCAGATAATCGTCGCCGGTGTTGTCCGTGAGCGCGAATCGAACCCGGGTGGACACGTTCGCAGCGCAGCGCGCTCACCGCTGCGCCACCGCTCCCCATACCACCACCACTATCCCTCTATCCACCACCACATCCACCCCTCCCTCCCACCTCTCACTCGCTCAGTCTTCCTACACCCCTCTACTTGGACTCTAGACTCGCCCTCCCTCCTCCCCTCCCCACCACCTCCCTCCCTCCCCCTCCACCCACCCTCCCCATCACAATCACCACCCCTCCCTCCACCTCCACCCACCCTCCCCATCACAATCACCACCCCTCCCTCCACCTCCACCCACTCTCCCCATCACAATCACCACCCCTCCCTCCCTCCCCCCACCCTCCCCATCACAATCACCACCCCTCCCTCCACCTCCACCCACCATCCCCATCACAATCACCACCCCTCCCTCCCTCCCCCTCCACCCTCCCCATCACAATCACCACCACCTCCTCCTCCCATCTTCTCTCACGCGCTATAAATGTTAGCCGAGTCGACCCACTGTAGTCTGCGCGCCCCTTCCACGTGAGAGACGTCCCATCGCGAAACTCCACCAACTGTCCCTCTCCAGCATCACAGATCTTGCTGCCGAACCCTGGCCCCGGATAGCATCAACCTTGCGGAGTTGCAGAGTAAATCAGACATTATGCAAACACGGAGAGAGATCTGAGTGCGCGTGCGTGTGTGAGAGAGAGAGTTAGTTGCACGGCTGGATAGAACTCTGAGCGCAGCGTAACGCTGACACCAAAGACAAAGATCCCCCGTATAGCCTTGACGGACTGCGTGGGGGGGGGGGGCAAGTGCTTTTAGCGAGCGAGCGAGCAGACGCGCGCGAAGTAGCAGACACGAGGGGTGGGGGGGGGGGAACGTACGCGCAGACTCTCAACACACACACACATACACACATACACACGCACATACATACACACACACACATACACGCGCACACACACATACACACACGCACATACACACACACATACACACACACATACACGCACATACACACACCCGCACATACACACACACGCACATACACACGCACACACGCGCACACACACACACGTGCGCACACGTACACACGCGCGCACACACATACACACACATACACACGCGCACACACACACGCACATACGCGCACGCACACACACGCACCCACGCGCGCACACACACGCACACACGCGCGCACACACACACAGACATACACGCGCGCACACACGCACACACGCGCGCACACACACACATACGCGCACACGCACACACGCACACACGCGCGTACACACACACATACGCGCACACGCACACACACGCACACACGCGCGCACACACACATACGCGCACACGCACACACACGCACACACGCGCGCACACACATACACATACACGCACACACATACACACACACATACACACACATACACGCGCGCACGCAGAGGGGATGGGCAAGGCCAGACGACGAATCTCTTGGCTGCTGCTGCCGCTGTAGCTCAACTCGCACACCCACGCCGCCAATGTTAAAGCGGCAGGCGTTGGGGCGAGCAACGCTCAGTTTGGCGAACGTCTCAGCTGGTCGGCAGGAGGAGCTGCTGCTGCTGCCGCTGCTGCTGCTGCTACTGCTGCCCGTGGCGGTGGTGTTGGTGACTGCCTGCGCTGGTTTGGTAGTAAGCCGCAGCACTTGTTGATGTGCGTGGTTCTTCGTCGTGGCATCGAAGACGACCTAGGAAGAAGAAGAGGAGGAGGAAGCGTGGCGTGGCGTGGTGGTCACAGAAGCACTTTTCGTTGTATCGCGTGAACGACCAGCGGCGCGTTGCAGCAGCCGCACAGCAAGTTAAAGAGTCCGGGACAAGCTCCATCCAGCAAGTGCGCGGATTCTCGATTTTCGCTGCTGGTGGCGGTGGCGTTGGGAGGCAGTCGCTCACGCCTGGCCGAGTAGTTTGTGCATTGCAGCGACGAACCTCGTAGCGAACTCGCTGGGTTGGTGGCCTTGGTAGTTTTGTGCCACCGAAGGATCGGTGGTGAGTGGCGAGCGGGAGGGTTTGATTCTAGCCTCCAACTTTCGTCACGAGATTCGTCGAGCGCGCGGGCTTGGAGAGGCGGGCGGGGGGGTGTTTGGACTGAGTTGGAGTAGCGAGGAAGGAGGTGGTGGTGGTGTTAGTGGGTGCCGAGGCTCCTCGTGTCCACCCTCGGTGTGAGTCGGGGCTGTGAAACGGCGCAGTGAAAGATTGAGTCATCAGCAGCGGCGGCTCTTTTGGTTTGGTGGAGTGTTTCGAATTTTTTTATTTTAGTTTCACCGCCACCACACAAAAAAAGCAAAGCTGCAGACACCAGAGAGAGAGAGAGAGACGGGAGAGTCTCACTTTTCTCGGCCAGTTCGAGTGGAAGCGACCACGAAAGCCAGTGCAACAACAACGACAACAACAACGACAACAACGAGTGAACGGCTCTGGACTCGTCCCCGGCAACGTCAAGGCTCAATCCGAGGACTCGGGTCGGGAACGCTCGACTCGTGCTGGTCTGGAATCAACGCGCGATAAGCCGCCGATTTAAATCTTCTGGACTCGCCTGACCCCAAAGGTTCAGCTTGAATCATCACCATCACCACCATCACCATCATCACCATCACCACCATCATCACCATCACCATCGTTCATCCTCGCGCGTTCTTATTCGAAAGCGCTCCGATTGAACACCTCGCTCCGGCTTTTTTAAATTTCTGATCCGGGACGATAAGAAGATAAGACGTGGCTGGCGGAGACACCATGAGACACAAGTCCCAGGGAGGAGGAGGAGGAGGAGGTCTGTAAGGTTTCCGGAGAGAGAATCCTAAGAGGAGTCGAACGGAGGAGGAGTTCGCGACACCGCGAGACGGGAGAGAGAGCGCGAGAGCGGTGGCCACGTCTCGCCATGGATCTGCGCACCCAGCTGCTGATCGCGCTCTGTCACGTGTGCTTCATCGGCGCCAAGGTGAGTGTGGCTGAGAGCGAGAGAGCGAGAGTTTCAATGGGATTGAAGTTGTGATGATGATGATGATCATCAGCAGCAGCAGCAGCGGCAGCGGAATCATCCGTAGCAGCATCACCATCGTCGTCGTCATTGTCAAAGCAGCAGCAGCATCATCATCATCAGCAGCAGCAGTAATCATAGTTATGATGGTAATCATTGTCACTAGTGGAATGATGATCATCAACACTAGCAGAGTCATCAGTGGCAGCAGTAGCATCATCGTCAGCTGGAGTATTATAACCAGGAGTATTCGCGTTGTCATCATAATCAGCAGCAGCGGCGGGGTCGTGATCATAGTCGTATCAGCAGCAGCAGTGCCTGTGTGTGGTCGTCTCAATTAGTCTGACTCTGTTACACGCATCACACTTGTCCGCATCAGAATCGTCGTTACAATCATCAACAGGAGCAGTTGCGGAATCGGCATCAGCAGCACCATAATTCGTCGACAGCATCAGCAGCAGCGGCATCATCATCGTCATTAGTATCATGCAGCAGTGGCGTTATTCTCGTGCGTAATGTCATCGTCGTCATCAGGAGTGTCGTCATCATCAACAGCTCAATGAGCAGCAAGACTGTTACACACATCCATCAGTAGCATCATCCTCTATAGAATGCTCATCAGCAGCAGTAGCAGCGACATCCCCGTCAGCAGAAACTTCTGTTTCAGCAGTAGAGGGCAGTATGAAACACCATCAGCAGCAGCAGCGGTTGTATCATTCGTAGCAGAAGCATCAGCATCGTTATCATCATTAGTAGCATCTCCATCATCCGGAGCAGCAGTGATATTAGCATCATGAGTTGCATCATCATAAGCAGCAGTGGTGCTAGTGATGAAAATGAATTTTATGATGTTGATGCTGCACTTTATGTCATTGCTGCTGCTGATGATGGTAGCATCTGATGATGATGGTAGCATCTAATGATGATGGTATCATCATCAGCATCATCAGCAGCAGCAGTGATGATAATTATGATAATTAATATATGATGATGTTGATGCTGCAATTATGTCATTGCTGCTGATGATGATGGTATCATCATCAGCATAATCAGCATCATCATCAGCATCATCAGCAGTGATGGTAGCATCATCAGCAGCAGCAGTATCATCCTGAGCAGCAATGCCATACTCTACAGCATCAACATCACATCTTTATTTTCAGCATTATCTTTATGACCATCTGAACAACACCACCACCACCACCACCATCATGCTCATCGGTCATTATCGATCCACAGCTGGATGAGATCCCCTCTCTGCCGACTATTCCGCGCTCAGATATCAATCACCGGGGCTTCTGTTCTTTATTCTCTCCCTCTGCAGATAACCATCGTACAACATTTCGTTTGCTTTTGCCGTCTCGACAAAGCCCCTTTGACGCAACCACGCTCTACACAAACGCAACTCGATGCCCCTTTTGTCACTCCACTGCTGGATGAAGGCCGTGCCGGTTGTGGGGGTTGTCTGTTTGTTTGTTTGTTTGGCCATACTTCTCCGCGCTCGTCAATGTGAGCTGGCGAAAGAAGGGGGCCACGGTGTGGGTGGAGGTTAATCTATGATCGGGACCGGTTAGGACATCACTCTATAAAACTATAAACTATGTTTTATTTTTATGTTACCAGGTAAGGCCCATTGGGCTATACAGTTATTTTTCAGAAGCGAACTGGCCCACAAATGATAGCTCAACAAAGTGGCTTACCATCACGTGGACATTTACAGCAGCCAAACACTCTAAACGCGTGATGTTGATTCTAAATGTGGAGGGGGGAAAACCGGAGCACCCGGAGAAAAATCCACGTGACCACGGGGAGAGAGAGAGACACGCAAACTCCAAAATATACAGCAGGCGTCAGGGGTTGGGATCGAACCCACGAATCACTCCTGCGTACCAGGCGAGGTAGTTAACAGCTCGCCACTGATGTTCGCCAGCTCTGGACCGGTTTCGACACGCAGTGTCTCATCGGCAGCAGCGGTCTGCCTTGCTTGAATCAAAGCTGGTGACTTAGCGGCTCTTACAGGCAAGAAACCTCCTGTCTTTACCACGTGTGTCTTAGTTCGATGCGAAACATATATGTAGAATTATGATACGCAACACAATAACGGAAGCTGATGTCACCCACGGCGCTTGTGCCAGGCTATGTGCATCTTGAGGCTATGACGTGAAGTGTGGATGTCTCGCTGACATGAGGTCATGGAACAGACTCAGGTGCTATGGGTTGACTGACTGAGATGACTGGCAGATGCACCACCTGTGCTCCCCCACTATGCCACATTTCTGTGTTTTAGCCGCCCGGCGCTCCGCTCGTTGTTGTGAGCGTCGACTGCCTCCAACGGATCGGTGGCGTCCTTCACGAGAGGTCATGAATATTATTAACTAAGAAGTCTCGAAACTTCAAGTGACTGGCGATGCAGCTTCCGGGCAGCATTACGCATCTGACGAAAAGATAATGGCACTCGACTGATTCGAAGTGAGACCTCCACTGCCAAACCGGAGCTGGGGCATGAGCACACTGCCCAAATATGTAAACTCCTCCACTCTCTCCACAACTGCCCCATCCATTACTCATTGGAGAGTTGAGGGGGTGGAGTGTTTGATGACACAAAGGGCCCAGGTGCCTTGGTCTGGCAGAGGCTGGTTTGTTTCCACAGCAGATCCCCCCCCCCCAATTTTCTCCGAGTGACCAGCAATTACCAAGTCATCAACATATACACCGTGGTTAGCCGGCAGCGAGTTGTCCTCACCGGGTTATCGATCAGCCAGCCTCCCGTTTTTTGTTGTTGTAAAATCCATTGCAAGCGCCATAAAATCCTGCTCGAAATATGTGGTCACACAATCCGTTCGGTTTTTTTTTCTCCTTCGGGGGCCCGTAGAACGTCACGTCACTTTGTTGGCGGAACAGCGACATCGGCCAGCCACTCGCAGGTGGGGTGGCGGTTGTGGTGGCTACTTCATCGTTTTGATGCTCCGCAACCATCGTAGCGTCAGGCAGCCTCTCACCCCCCAAACTCCCCAATTGCCCCACGATGTTGTTTGGGCTTAGAGGGTGTTTCACCCTTCCGCAAGACCTCACAGAAATGCTCGGCAAACTACAAAAAAATCTGCAGACCGCACCTTTGAGGTCAGAGATCAGAGAGAGCCATTTCGTTCCCCGTAATGAGGACAGCGATTAGGGGGGGGGGGGGTGGTGCTGCAAGTCTCCTATTGAGTGAGTTGCGTTAAAGGGTGAGTTGCCATTGTGTTGGGCCACCGGCGTTGCCCGTGGACAGACCAACTCCACGGACGGTGGTTGCTGGGTGTGAAGGACATGGGGACCCACATTCTCTGCTCAGCCTCAACAAAGTACAGCCAGGGGTCCCGGTTTGGGCCCAGCGTGCACGAGAAGACGAGTCTGATGTGGACTTGGTGATTACAAGACCATTGGCTGTATTCTATTAAAAACTATTTTTTACTTACCAGGGTAAAGCCCATTGACCTGTATAACTCTTTTTCGGAAGCGAGCTGGCCACAAATGATAGCCCGACGAAGTGGCTTATCATCATGTGGACATTTATAGCAGCCAAGGACCCGGAGGAAAATCCACACGAGCACGGGGAGAACACGCAAGCTCCACATCTACAGGCGTCAGGGTCGGGATCGAAACCCACGACCTCCTGTATACTAGGCGAGGTAGTTAACATCTCCTCGCCACCGTGATGATGATGAGAGAGAGACGCAAACTCCAAATATACAGCAGCAGGCGTCAGGGTCGGGATCGAACCCACGACCTCCTGTATACCAGGCGAGGTAGTTAACATCTCCTAGCCACCGTGATGATGATGAGAGAGAAACGCAAACTCCAAATATACAGCAGGCGTCATGGTCGGGATCGAACCCACGACCTCCTGTATACTAGGCGAGGTAGTTAACATCTCCTAGCCACCGTGATGATGATGAGAGAGAGAGACGCAAATTCCAAATATACAGCAGACGTCAGGGTCGGGATCGAACCCACGACCTCCTGTATACTAGGCGAGGTAGTTAACATCTCCTAGCCACCGTGATGATGATGAGAGAGAAACGCAAACTCCAAATATACAGCAGCAGGCGTCAGAGTCGGGATCGAAACCCACGACCTCCTGTATACTAGGCGAGGCAGTTAACATCTCCTAGCCACCGTGATGATGATGAGAGAGAGACGCAAACTCCAAATATACAGCAGCAGGCGTCAGGGTCGGGATCGAACCCACGACCTCCTGTATACTAGGCGAGGTAGTTAACATCTCCTAGCCACCGTGACACCCAAATCGAGCAGCATTCTTCTGCCGTTGTTGTGTTTTTTCGCTGATCTGGTCCATCCGGACCAATAACTCCTGCCCAAGTGTTGTTACGACCCACTCGTGTTTGTTTAAGTCGCCCAATAAGAAGACTCGTATCCCAAATTGGGGGCGGGGAGGGGGTACTTTAGCCAACACCTGGGGCAGGAGGTCATAGAAGGCATCTTTGACTCATCAGCCTTGCCCCCGCCAGCAAGAATAGGCAGCCTCCGCCTGCTGCCGATCGGGAGTCGAGTCCACAGTGGCATGGGATTCGCAGCCTCCCACACCGCACCAATGCGCTCCCACATCCCCCGTCATGATTTGATTCGGATGAAGAGCCCCTCCCTGTTGATTGTCGTTATCCTGCCCCAGAGTGGAGGACTGTCCACACCGTGGCGGCTGCCAGAACCGGCATGCTGGGGCCTTATACTCTTAGTTCTTTCGGTCAAAGTCACGTAGGTAAAAAAATGAAATTAAAAATAAAAATAAAAACAAAAAAATCACGACGTTTCGGAGGCAACGCAAGCTTTCGTCTTCAGGTGAAACTGTCACAGCAAAAAAGTCACCTACGTGACTTTCCCGAAAGAACTAAGAGTATGAATCCTTGCAGTCACGAAAGCTTCAAATCTAGAAACGCTGGGGCCTCCTGTATCCCACAGGGGGC